GGACCGGTCCATACTACAAAGAAAACAACTTTATTTGGGAATATTAGAGAAAGAAAAAGCACTGTCATAACTGATTTCCATTATAAGGTGTACTGACCAGATGATGTCACTGGGAGCAGGTGCATAACTGACCCCCCACTTGTGCGGCTGCACCACTGTAGTGATGCTGGACTGCTGTGGTCTGCGTCGACAGTGCACGCGACCGTAGTCCTTCACAATCCTGTGAAGCAGAGCAGAGGTGAGGCTGAAATCTGACTCTCGTGCCGTTCTTTTATGTCCCACCATAAAGCTGCTGTGATGGTTTTCATGTGGTGCCGAGGCCCAGACCTCAGTGGCGAGCTGTTGTTCTACTCACACTGCAGTCATCCTCTCGTCACGAAAAGTCACAAAGGCGATGCCCAGCCTTTTCATGGAGATGTGATTCTTCTCTGCATTAAACTCATCAGTGCGCTTCTCCTCTAATTCACTGTAGTACTGCTCCGCGTCCACCTGCAGGATTAAAAAGTTTAGAGTACATGTACACAGTTTACACAATTCTTTTCATCTAAGCCTGAGTCTGAGGGATATGTCACTGCTCCGTTTGGACTGCAGTGCCATCCAGTGGTCAGACTGCCTACATACAGCAGTAATGAGAACCAAAATTCTATACCTTTGTAAATCCACAGAAGTCACAGCAGAAGATCTGAGCACATGGATGAGTCTTGATCATGATCTTTCCTTCTTTTTGAGCCTTGGTGGCGAAGTAGAGCCGGCCTTTCATCGCTTTACGTCTGCAAAAGAGACAAATCTTTTTAAAATACTGTGCATTTACATTTAAAGTAACACAAATACCGAAACAGTAATATCCGCATTTGACACACAAAAAGTTAGTACACTATATTATGCACTATATTTATCATTTGTTAATACAATGTAACAAAAGTTGTATAATACCAGTCATATTTAAAAAACAACATTATACACAGAGTTTGAATCCAAATCTGAAACAGTTACTGTACCTCTCCAGGTCCAAGCTCATCAGCTTGTGAACATCGAAACAGAAGCGGATGTCAGTGACGGTACAGCTGGGGTAGGCCTCACTGAGGAACGGAGCGAGGGATGTAACTTTATTAGTTCATAATGGCTGAGAGAAAAAGAAAACAGCTTTAAATAATTAGAAGGCAGATTAAGGTGAGAGGAGAGGCCTACTGTAAATGTTTGGTGATGAGTCCTGGGTCAGAGATTTCTCTGGGTATGGAGGTGATCATCAGTGTCCTGGCCACCTGCAGCACATGATAAACCACCAGGAAAAAACACTAGTATAGACTAAATCTTTATAGTATATAAGT